CTGAAGGGTCAGATCCATCTCTCCTGTATCATCCTTGCAGGACTTCAAGGGCACGACCTTCAGACTATCATGGATGCTATCTGCTGTGTATTTGGTTTTTTAGGCTTGTCTTCCACTTCCACATATACTGCACATCACACCAAGATAAGCCAGGTTTCTTTGCAAATCATCTTGTTGGTGTCATTTGAGGCATCAGTGTTTGAGAAAATGCACAATTTTCTTAACCTTTAATATGATACAAAAGCAGCCAAAGCAGAAGTCTCGAGTAACCGTTCTGCACAAAGCATTAAAACAAAAAAGTAGTAGTCAGCAGATTATGATCTGTATACAACATTACTGGTAGTGATGGTCCAGTGGACCCTAAAAAACCCCGAGGGCCCAAATGAGCATCGGGTTTTCCTTTTCGCTCAGAGTAATTCAGCTGATGACCAACTTTCCATGAAAAGAAGCCGACAAGGATGCTCAGCTCTGCTCCCTCGCCCCCCGGCCTCCAGGAGGGCACGCCCACAAATGCATCCAACCAGCATCTTAAAAGATTTCTACAATTTTGAGCTCCAGGATCAGAAGAAATGTTAAAGCAACACGACAGCTGGGAGTGCTTTTTTGTAACAGGATGGTCGAAGGAGCCACCTCAGAGAAACGACTACAAATCTGTGGTGACGTCCTGCGAACCCAAGAAACTCCATCAGCTCATTTTTACGTGCTGCCACAGGACATCCACCCGGTGTCACCTGAGCCTGCCCTGCCAGCTAGTCCATAAACAGTACTCGTGTTTTATATTTATCAGATAACTTAAACAAGGAGGAAGTGCTGAAGACAAATCCAGAAGAAAACAACCACAGGGCGAATATAATCACGCAGCTGAAAATACTACCAGTTTCTCTGGACCTGGGAAACACAGAAGTCCCAGCCAGTACTCCCAGTGTTCCCAGTCTAAACACTTCAACCACATGGACAACACACCAAGATAACAAACGGTCCCGAAATTAACACGATCAGCAATTTTCCTGTGTGACATTGTCGTAACTCTTACTGCGTGACTGGCAGGTTTGGAGCCAAACGTAGAGAAGCGCTCGGAAATACAGTTTTACTGCTGAAACAAGGTAACTGTTGGAACGCAAGGACGCCAAATATACCAGGAATACGAGGAACTTACTACAGGACACCAGGAAGACACACAGCAGAGATGACAAGGGAACCGGTGAGGAACACAGCTGAGCAGAATCTAACTGAGGAGACAGAGGAAGTAAAACTGCACATGACATACATGGGACAAGGACCTAACAAAATAAAACAGGAAGTAGCTAACACAAGGGTTAGCTTAGACATGC